GGAGAGGGAATCGGGGCGGGGGTTGGCCGGGGGAGAGCGTCGGGATCGAAGCGGAGGTTGGCCGGGGAACGGGAATCGGGGCGGAGCGGAGGTTGGCCAGGTAAGGAGGGGGAGTGGAATCGGGATCGGGGAACGAGGGGGAGAGGAGGGGGAATCGGCGCGGGGGTTGGGCGGGGGAAAGTGTCGGGATGGGAGCGGAGGTTGGGCGGGGAAGGACGGGGGACAGAGGGGAAGTCGGATTGGGGAAAGAGGATGAGTCGGGCAGTCGGGATCGGGGAAGGAGGGCAAGTCGAGATTGGAAAAGAAAGGAGATCGGGGAAGGAGAGAGAGAGGAGGGAAAATCAGGACGGGAGTTGGGCGGGGGAGAGCGTCGCGATCGGAGCGGAGGTTGGTAGGGGACGGAGGGGGAGCAAAGGGGAAGTCGAGGAGTCGGAATAATGACCTTCGTCGTTTTATTTTTCTTTCTTCTTTTTCATAAAAAAGGACATCGACTAAATAACAAAAAAATAAAAAAACGACGACCTTGAAATATTTCGCTTCCAMAAAAAAAAAAAGGGCAGTGCCGCAGTGCGTCAACTTTTTTTTTTTTTTTTTTTTTTTTTTTTKTTWCGAAAAAMAGTAACGACCTTTGTCGGTTTTTTTCTTTCTTTCTTCTATTTCGTAAAAAAGGACAACCACTTTTTTTGTTTGCTTTTCTTAAATTACCCAAAAAAAAACAACGGCGTTGAAATGTTTCCCTTCCAGAAAAAAAGGGGGCAACGCATCGTTTTTTTTTTTTAATTATTTTTGTTATCAAATTATTGGTTCGTTCTTCTCATACCCGTTTGAACCTTCTTCCTCCTACTTCCTGGTCTGTCGCGGGCGAAGCCGCGGCGGGTCCCCTTGTGGAAATAAAGGGGGCAACCGGTCCGGGGTCACACTTCAAAAAAAGGTTGAGACTTCAGTGAAGGCAAAACATACGGCAGACACAGTCGTAGTCACAGCAACAAAGCATCACCAGAGAAGCGAGCGAGAGGCAAAGGCACACCAAAGGAGGAAGAAAGACTGACACACAGGTCTCCCGAACGCGACCCTGAAGAGTCGTCATAAGAATATTCAATGAAGTAACGACTCAACAAGACAGGCAACGTGCAACGAAGCAGGGAATTGACCGTCGTCAATATCCAGCACAGTAAAAACTCGGTCATCCAGCGCGACCCTACGCCGCGTTTCGGCTGCTCGCCAGCTAGCCATCATCAGGGATCAAGAGAACGTCGCGAATTGGAGGACATCCTCAATCAATAAACTAACTTAAGTAGTCATGAACCCACTTAAAAAGCAGAACCTTCGCGTCCGAGACAAAAAAACAAACTTCAGAGTTGTACCAAACCCCACATACCAGAGTCTGCCAGAAACAACAGAACCAGAATCTACACAACATCCGCGCCCCAATTCGCAATCACCAGACCAGTGAACCAGGCTCAAGAAGGGGGTCCGGTAGCCAAGCCAGAGGGGACCAGAATCTCAACGCAGACCAGCAATAGACAGGAGAGACGAATCGTAGACGAGAAGAGAGATGTTCGAACAAGAGTCTCTTGGACAAAAGAAAGGAAAAAGAGAACCAGCCCGAAGCCAGAGTATAGCAAGGAGAGAAGTTTGAGCCCATCGTATACAGTTCACGCTCAACATAACACCCAAAAGTACCCATGCACAAATGTACAGACTATACCCGAACCCTACTTCCCCACACCTATCCCAACAGGTAGAACAACACACTCAATCATCCCAAACCCCACCGTACTTGCTTGAGAAGTTCACCAAGGCCGTATCGAAATACTTATCAGGAAAGTTCCTCAGCCTTAACTCCATCTTCAGAGTCAACAAGAAAGCCGCCTCCGCCCCTTTCATCGTGGTATATCTCCTTGCCCTGTGCACAAAAGAGCTGATAACCCCCAATGTTTGCTGTCAACTTGAGTACGAACAGTAATCCTGCAAGTTATGGAAAGTCAGTCAACCACTCCTCACCCCTCCCCAATTTTTATGGGTAGCTACACACAAAATTTCATCCGGCCAATCCCTTGCCACCACTACACACCCAAGAAAAAACCAGTGAGACGCTGAATTCGTCCTTTCCAAGTTGAGGTTACTATGGTAACAGTTGGAAAAAGTATGTACAACCTCCTTTGCCGGCTTCCTCGACTCCACATCACGCAGCTTATAACGGACGAAGATCGACACGTCATCCACAATACGTGCCCCGTGTGTAAGATCTCTCTTACCCCGTAAAAAATTCAAAAACTTAAATTCAGAGTAAGCCGAAAGAAGACATGCAAGTGCAGGACTAGAGGCCTTGCCATTAGGTATGCCAATGTGTTGTCTCTGAATCAAGCCACACGCGTTCACATACGTACATTGCAGCTCAAACTCCACAAAACGAACAATGTCATCAAACTCAACAGACAACCAACCAATCTGTCCCTTACCCATCTTTATCTTAACACCCTTCCCACGTTGTTGTACAAGCACCCCCCAACCTCCATGCAGCCGCCAGAAGTCCACCACCCATCGAACTGCCTCTATCACAGCATCGTGCGGCAAATTACAAAACATTTCTTTGATGTCGAAAGCCGCCGACACAATGCCCTCACCCTTCCTCAAGTCCTTGTTAGCCGTCGACATCCTATCAATCAATTTTTTCATACTCTTCATGTTAAAATTACTTATTGAAGGCAGATCCCATAGCATCCTGATAATAGCTATGGCCACCTTTTTACTAACCCTCACCCCACATTCCTCAAACGTAGGATAGATCGGTTTCCACCTACTAACATCCTTATGCTTGGGGATCACATAACATTTTCCCAACCTACCCTGTGGATTCCATTTGCCCAGCTTCGTCAACCCCAATTCCTCGAACTTACGACCATTATTAACATTCAATTCCTCGATTCTTCCATCCACCGACCTCCGCAGTATCGCAACAACCATATCCTTCCCTCTAACTCCTATTGAAACAACCCTCAATCATTCGATCAGACAACATCCCCCCTAATTCCCTCTGTGTTATCCTACAAACACCCAACAAAGTATCAAAGGCCTTGAGCAGTTACTTGGTCAGATTACCCACAGAACATCCATACATAGGTTTCAAAATATTTCGAGCATTCCTCATCCACTCCGGCACAAAACTTGCTTCACTCGTCCTAAAACAGACATGCCCATGAACCCGAGTAAACCGCTCATCCACCCCAGCACAACCACAAACCACATCCTTCTCTCTAACCGTGAAGCAAAAATTATAAATGATATCCCCAATACTGCATTTTTTAACGAACACCACCCGCATACGTCGGACCACCATCATCCTCCAGGCCTCGACCAAACCCAACTCCCCAACGAATCCAGCACACAATGTCTGAATTTCTGCCTTGCACAACGTTTCATCAAAAGTAACCTTCACAGTAAGTTTGTCGCGCACGTTGACACCAAATCTCCTCGTAGGAGTGTGAGGCCTTGTAGAGAGATCTGGGGATTTGCTGAGGGAGGAAAGCAATCCAGTGGCGAACCGGGGGGGCTGCCTTGACAACCTATGGGACCTGGGATAGTCTAGGTGGCGAGAACAGGTTAGCTATGGTTGACATTGGGTAGGATGACATTGTCTGTGAGATGTAATGTCCTGGTACAGGGAGGGCTAGGAATTGTTCTAGGATTAGGAGGCCAAATTTGCTGATATACCATAGTCTTCTAAATTTTTTACTTACTAATCATCACCATTATCATCATCATCATCATTAGTATCATTATCTTACAGTTTACATAGAATCACCAGAAGTTCATCATCATCATCATTATCATCATATTAGGGACGCTAAAATCAGGTGAAAAACATGATCGCCGAAAGTTCAAAGGTTTCTGCGTTCAGTCAATCTACGTAGAGTGAATCCGTCCCGAAGGAAACCCCGAAAGGCGGCGCCGATGGGTACTAGAAAGTGACGAAATTTGAATTAAGCTAGCGCTACTGAACAAAACAAAATTGGATGATTGGACAAAAAAAAAAAAAAATGCATCGCAGGGTGTAACATGCGCGTTTCTCCGGAAAAGAACGAACCGCACCAAACAGCCAAATTAATTGCTCCAAGTTCCATGATGACAATTCCTTGCAAGAGGGTGGAAAACTCGGAAAATTAACCAGAATAGGTTTGAACTTTAAGAATATATAAGGAAAAGCAGAAAGGGACAATGTTCGAAAATTCCAACGTCATACCATGCGTCAACCATCCTCGCGCCCTCCTCAATTGTAATCTCCCACAACAGAAGCCCACTTCTGTCGACCCGAAGCATTTCTTAATCAACTTCCACTGATTGATCAACAAATCGCCACCCTCGCATTCAACTTTCACGTAACTCACTGCGCGCTGCCTACAATCATTCAAGATCCTAATGAGACTAGCCGATGAAAAATCCTCCGATGTAGTAAAGACGAGATCATGACTCCTTTTACCATTCTTCTTGTTTCCCACCTCACTACGACGAGTCCGCCTGGCTCTTTCCCTTCTTCCCGACCTCCGTTTTCAACTTTTCGACATCTACGAGCTCTATCCCTACTGTTCAAGTGCGGACAAAAGTGTAGGATCACAAACTTCTCGAGGTCAAACAAGTCCTCCTCACCACAGAAAAACAAAGGTAACGCAACGTAGCTTTCCAAACCACACCTTCTTAACCAGCTATACAGACGGTCGTTTCTTCTTCCTTACGCCACAACATTCTAATTACTGACCCGGAATAGATGTTCCCTCCACCTAACCGCAAGTGACCTAGTCTTCCTCCTTTGTACTGATTTTTGTTTCGCCTAAGCTAGAGGGTACAGATCCCCCTCCCCCCCCACCATGTCGAGTCGTCTTCATCGTCGTTTCTTTATCCTTCTTACCGAAACGTGCATCGGCCCTTATCTCGACAATCTCATCCGCCGTTGTCTCGACAGTCTTGTAGGCGATACCTTCTTGATTACAGAAGATCTCGAGCCCTGCCTTCTTCAAAGCCTGTAATCATTTCCTTTCAATCTGCAAAAATGTGAAACGGTCATTGGCATCAATAGCCGACCCATCATCGTTGCCCATACGCCCGGATGTTAATCGTGGTCTACCTCTTCTTCCAGTCTTCTTCGCTACCACCAGCCTCAGTTGCCGCTTCCGATCTCGATTTGAGATTCATACCTCCTGTTGGTGCGGCCACGACCTCCGCCGTCAGTTTGTCAATTTGCTCCCTTAGCTTCGCCACTTCGGCTTCCGCGACCAACTTTTCCGACTCCGCCTCCATCCGTTTACGTTCCTCAGCAGTCTTTCTCTGCTTTAACACCTCAACTCCCCGCAACGTACATTGCTCCATGTCCTTCAACTTCTACAGTTCGTCATGAAGCGCACCAGAAGGTGAATCCATAATACGAACCATGGAATGGATACTATTATCGATTTCCGGCGTCGTCATGGATATACAACCCCTCTTGTTCCCGGGCCTTAAGGCTTCGTTCATCCACGTCTGAGTCTCTTCTACCGATTGCTCTTTCTCCTTACGTAATAGTCCAACCTCCGTCTTCAGTCCCACAAGAAGCTCCTTATCCTTCTCCCTGCCAGCCCAGAGTTCTTGCATCTCCTTCATTAGCACGCTCATCCCATTCTCCAACGGATCTCTTGTAGCATTCACCTTACGCCTGAGCTCTTCATTCTCCCGCAGCAGTCGGTCCACCAGACTCTCGCTGCTCGAGCACTCCCGCTCCAACATCTTCCTGAATTCCTCATTTTCTCTCCTTAATTTTAATATTTCGTCATTCTTCGAGCTCTGAATACCGGTAACAGGTTCATTGTCGTAACCGCCTTATCTCCCGCTGGCACAACTCCACCATACATCGAAACCAGCCTATTCTCCAAACGATCCCCGACCCTTGCTTCAAATTCTTCGCGTTCTTTCTGTTGCTCGTTCCTATTCTCAATTTCTTCCTCTCGCTTCCTTTCTGCCTTTTCAGCCTCCGCTTGATCGACGAAGGCAACGCATCTATCGAGACTTTGCCTCCAAAAACCTCTCCCTGCGCCATACCCTCCTGCCAGATAAGTATATTGCACCAGTGCATGTTGCACAGGGGCCAGAGAAGCACTGGCAGGAGCCAGTAAGGCCAGAATCGGAGCGCTCAGAGCAGTAGCGTTAGCTCCAGTCGCAGGTCCCCTCGGTGGATGCGGACACTCCCTTCAAAAATGCCCCGGAAGTCCGCAATTGCAGCAGCTCCTAACGAATGGTGCCACCATCTTGGTCTTGTATAGTGTAGCCACGCAAACAGTAGTCTTATTCCTACGGTGGTTACTTACACGAGTGTATGGTTGAGACTTCAGTGAAGGCAAAACATACGGCAGACACAGCCGTAGTCACAGCAACAAAGCATCACCAGAGAAGCGAGCGAGAAGCAAAGGCACACCAAAGGAGGAAGAAAGATTGACACACAGGTCTCCTGAACGCGACCCTGAAGAGTCGTCATAAGAATATTCAATGAAGTAACGACTCAACAAGACTGACAACGTGCAACGAAGCAGGGAATTGACCGTCGTCAATATCCTGCACAGTAAAAACTCAGTCAGCCAGCGCGACCCTATGCCGCGTTTCGGCTGGTCGCCAGCCAGCCATCATCAGGGGTCAACAGAACGTCGCGAATTGGAGGAGCTGCTCAATCAGTAAACAAACTTAAGTTACTGTAGTCCTGAACCCGCGTAAAAAGCAGAACCTTCGCGTCCGAGCCAAAAAAACAAACTTCGGAGTTGTACCAAACCCCACATACCAGAGTGTGCCAGAAACAACAGAACCAGAATCTACACAACATCCGCGCCCCAATTCGCAATCACCAGACCAGTGAACCAGGCTCAAGAAGGAGGTCCGGTAGCCAAGCCAGAGGGGACCAGAATCTCAATGCAGACCAGCAATAGACAGGAGAGACGAATCGTAGACGAGAAGAGAGATGTTCGAACAAGAGTCTCTTGGACAAAAGAAAGGAAAAAGAGAACCGGCCCGAAGCCAGAGTATAGCAAGGAGAGAAGTTTGAACCCATCGTATACAGTTCACGCTCAACATAACACCCAAAAGTACCCATGCACAAATGTACAGACTACACCCAAAAAAAGGGCCACTGTTTCAACCCCTGGCTAAACTTGGACATTCTGAAAGTCCAAAAATGACATCGGCGCCACTTTTGACTTTTCTTGCGTATTTCAAACTAAAAAGGTGACTCAGCAGCAGTTTCCTTAAAAAAAAAACAGTTGTTCAGTTACCAACGGGCTTTAAGTTAGCTGTGTCGGTCCTTGTCAGTATACCCATAAACTGTTGAAATGCAGACCTGAGTTCAAATCCACATGGAACCAGATGCACAAAAATCCTAAATTACCTGGGGCTGGCCAGTCTCAAGGCTGTCTCCCTGCAAACAAAAAAGGGGAAACTGCGTGGGAGTCACAGAAATGAGTTATAATTGCACTATGGGCCAAGATACAGTTTGGAATTGCAGATCGGGATATGTATATAACCCAGCTTTCTGGCCAGGTAGGATGCCCGGAGTGCAATTGCAAACTGTATCTTGCCCCGTAGTGCAAGTTTAACTCGCTTTTGTGACTCTGCTGAAGTTACCCCGCCCCCAAAAAAACGTTGTTCAGTTGATTTTTCTGCATAACATACTGTTTTTTCATACTTTTGGGATTTGTTTCTTGTTTTCGTTCTTCTTGGCAGGAACCTTCCTTGGCCCTTGCCAGGCCGGGCTCCGGGGCAACCAAGGCGCCCCAGGCGGCCTGGTTCATAGCCCAGAGATGAACAAAATTCTATGAAATGGCGTCAAGATATCTCGAGGGCTTGAAGATACTTTTTTTTTTCTTTTCTTTTTTAACAGCTTGAAGATACTTACAAATGGTCAACATCTCATCTGATTTAAAAATAAAAAAAAATAAAAAATAAAAATCTCATCTGATTTGGGGAAAAAAAAAAGAAAACAATTTGAAGCTCCACAAAAACCCACGAGGCTTAACCTACAAGTAGGGGTGAAGAGTTCAAAAAGAATTTGAGGGCCACAAGCAAGCCTTAGGGTGAAGGTAAGCACACACAGACAGTCTCCACAGGGAGGAGGCTGCCAGGGATACAGGGGGGCTGCGGGCAGCTGGCAGTAGTCTGGGTCTAGCGAGGCAGTGGGCGAGTCAGGGCTACAAACAATAGCACACAATTTCTAGGTGCGGGCAGGGCCAAAATGATCAGAAGGAGCCCCACAAAGGAAAGGACTACTAGCAGCTCCATGGGAAACAGGGTGCTCTACAGTAGAATGATCAATGTCCATTGGGCCGGCTATGAACTTAGTTGATGTATCTAAGGGACGCTGGACCCAGCAGGTGCCACTCCCCACCAATAAACGGAGCAGTCCGACAGCCAAAGCCTCAACTCTTGTGGTTCTCCTACCACCGACGGGATAGAGGCCTTGCACAAAGGGCTTAGAAAGAAAAGAAAAAAAAAAACAGCAAACAGTGACCAAAGAACTTACCCAATTCAGGGAATGTTCTTCGTCAGAACGCCAATTCGACCAGATTCATCCTATTACCCTGATCAGGCTCCATATTCTTTTTTCTGTTTTTTCTGTTTTTTCTGTTTTTTCTTTTTTTTCTAATTCTGATACGATAGTGTACAATAGGGGCCCAGATCCCGCCCTCCTTCTGTCCCCACCTTCGCCATGTGTGCCATCCTTTTTTTTGTTTTCTTGAAAAAAAACTCAGTAGACCCTCATAGGAAGGGTGATACAAGTACCACCCCCTACTACGGTCTATTCTGGTCACTCCATCTATTGGTGGGGACTCTGGGGAGCTGCACCTGCTGGAAAACGTGTCCATCCTGCGTTTTGAACATTGAAACTTTAATCAAGAAGACAGGCTTGTGTGTACATAGGAGTCGCTGACTCCCGGACCGAACCTCTTCACCCTTAAATGGGCGTCGGATCTAGCAACCTCTCCTAGCCCAGAATCGCCTACGTCCCAATCCCACTTTTCTGCAACACACTTTATCCGAACAGATATCCCCACAAAAAGATCGGATCCTTTTTCTCTTAAACCACCACTACCTTTGCAAGCTGTAGTCCCATTCAGGAAAATGAGCTCAACTGCAAAGTTCCGGGGTCCGGGCGAGGGTTGGCAAAAACAAAACCTTTGGGCCTTGTGGGCCCTGAATGGAGTAGCCATAGCCGGGATAGTGCACCGCTCCCTTGAAGACAGCATCCATACTTTGCCCCCAAGTGAACACGCCACCACTGCCGCTTTGGCGAGGCCAACAGCAAGCTCTGGTGAGCAGGAGTGGAACAACTGGCCCTGTGACGCAATTTCCCTCGGCCTGAGCGCCTAAAAAAGCAAGGGATCATTGGTTTCTATGGTCGTACTTATCTGAGGTAAGAACGATGGAAAAAAAAAAATTAAAAAAAAATGAAAAGAGTCCGAATGCAACCCACACAAGAACGATCATTGGCTGCATTTGAATCTACGATTCGAATCTGTATCTTGGCCCATAGTGCAATGCTTGAAAGGGGGTCTAGCATCCCTCACAAAGGCTCACATCAATAATCAGTATGAATGAGGCTCGAAGGGATGAGCCAGGCACACCGGGCAAGCCCAAACTGGTGCGCTATATTTGTACAGTCCTCCATTTCTCACTGGGTGGAGCTTGTTACATGGGTAGTGAATGGGAACTTGGCTTCCGTTTGCGCATGCGTCCTTGGATTGCTGTTGCATATTCTGCTCCTGTAGCAGCAGCTACTGCTGTGTATCAAAATTAATCCTGATGGACAAGGAAGCTTCTCTGATGGAATTTCTTTGGGTATTTCTGGAACATTCAATTTTATGCGCAGAAATACGGATAAAGAAAATCAATTTTATGCGCAGAAATACGGATAAAGAAAAGACGGACAACCCCACACAGATTTGTAGCATAGTACAAATTTAGACTCAAAGGAGGGATCCCTCCAGCAAAGAGGATTCAATTTGGATGTAAGGCCTGAATCTGGTCTTGTTCGTGGAGAGGTGCAGAAAAAAATCATGATTCATGACTGATTTGCATATTTCTGCACCTCCAATCGTCTTCTTTTCTAATATGCCCTCAGGGCCTCTTGGGTCTTGTGGATATCACGAGACGATACACACTAAGGTTCATGCACGCGCTGTGAATTGGGACGCGGCCGGGCCCCTTTTTCAGCACACCTGCTGGCTGCTCCCTACAGTGCCTACACCTAGGCAGGCACATTGTGTTCTTTAACTTCTTTTTTTATTATCAACAAGAAAGAAAAAGTTTCAAAAGACAAGTTGAAGTTGAAGATAGAAGGTCCAACATCTCTGTTATCCTGCTGGCTCAGTCCGTTATCAGCTCAAAATTCGGACCGACGGTTCGTACAATTCAGACAGGCGATTCAGATGGATGTTGTGGTTGGTTGGGGAATCGCGCATCCTCCCCTTTCCATGGAAGAGGCAAAGACACATCTCCTCTCCTGCTGGTCCTAAGGAAGCAGGTCCACGCTCTTCCCTGGGGATCTCTCTCCTCTTGAGTGTCTCTCTCAGAAGACTACAGATTGTCTTCTTGCTTCTAAAGGGCTTTGGGATTAGGGTTTTTTTGGGGGGCTGTGTGGTGGCAGTCTGGCATCATCATGTTAAAAATGGATCTTAACTGACAGCCTGGAGGCTGGAGCTCAGACGGTCCCTCAAATTGGTAGGCTTCCATCACCCCAGCTGGAGCCGCGTGTAGGAGGCATTATCTACTTTTTTTTTTTTTTTTTTTTTGGATATTGTTGT